ACACAAATCAAATATTCTTTAGAGGAAATTGGCTTCTGATGTCTAAAATGTACACGTGTCTTGGAGGAAATTCAATAATTAAAGAAAAATCCTTCAAACCTGTTACCCATTGATGAGCTTCAGCTCATTTATTACACAATGGGTAGAAGTTGGTATTCAAAATTTGTGTCTAACACTGAAATCATGTTGGTGAATTTTTGATCAAATAAAGACATTTTTAACACTAAGTCACCTCCTGCTGTGAGCCTGTTGGTTTGAGTTTATTTAGCTTATTCAATCCTTATCATTCGTCCCTCTCGGAGACAGAGTCCTAACTGTGACAGATCAAATAAAATGTGCAAATCATTATCAGATAACTTATCTGCTGGAATGTATTTGCTTATAGAGAACACACACATGCAGCTGCTCTTATTTAGCCTTAAATATAACTGAGTTTTATGATGATGCTTCATTTTAAACCAGAATGCACAATGAATTGACTGTAGATAAGAAACAATTATGTGCACTCACTTGCTAAATTACCATTTGCTCTAGTCAGCCATGTGTGAAATGTTTTAGCTCCCCTGTTTCCCTTTGAATATTAAAAAAAAACTGTTACCATCTGGTTTTTGAGTGAAAATGTTTCTTTCCCGTTCGTCCCTGTGTTAAACGACTTTGCAGTCATTTCTGGTATTAATTTCCTCCTGCTCTGATCAACCTTAAAAGAAACTTTAATGTTTCACTCAAGTGCCCGAGTTCTGTCTAAAATGAAATGAAACTTTTTTTCACATTAAAACATATTTACTGACCATTAAACGTCACACCAAGATCATGAAACTGGTACGAAGGAACGTTGTTGATATGTTTGATCCATTGGTTCCCAAAGGTGGCATAAAAATATAATTGTTGACAAAGCATTGTGTTCTATATTTTAATAGCATTTTTGTTACCAACTGTGGTCAGGGAGACTTTTATTTTGTTGGTGAGACCGGTCAGCTTCCTCTCAGTTCTGCTGATTGGTTCTGATATCTGTGGTCCAGTTAAAGGTAAGACCTTAACAGGATATTTAGGCCATTTTAGCCTGTTACTGTGTAAGGGTTGGGAATAATCACTACTTTACCCATTTTAGATTAGCTTCCTGAACAGCCTTTGTTTAGAGAAACAGCTTTTAGGAGCTACAGGGTGGAAGATAACAGCTATTCAAAGTGTATTCATAATGCAGCTCAAATGTGAAAAATTGATGGAAGTTAATACTGCAGTTATTTTCTTAAGCATCACAGTCAGTTTTGAATATTTCATGAGGAGTTCATGCAGCAATCTGTCAGGAATTACCTGTGATAATCTTTAAATCCATAAAGTTATTGTCTTATGCTGTACTGAGACATAATGGAGGCAAAACGACAATTCTTTTGCTAAACTAGCCCCCGTCTTAAAAAGCCCCACCCTATTTGAATTGAGCGCCACCCAGCATTAGCCAATATAGACGTCTGCTTACATGGGCTGTGTACCCAATGTAGGCCGCTACACCCCCTCACACACTCTCTCCCGTCAAGGGATCTAGCAGGCAACACACTGTTTGCCCCCGCTCTAAGAACGGTATTTCGGAATTTCTGCGAGCACCCTCCTCCTGCAGCAGGATGGCAAAATTTCCACGAGCATTTATACATGAATATATATATTTGTTTTCCCAAAGATGTACTTCAGCCCTTCAATGAATAAACAACATAATGTGTCAGTAACAGTTTTTGATACTGCTACAGTTGCATGCTCATGAACAAGAGGTGTTTCTTCCAGCCATTTATTATTTATTTATTTATTTTATTTATCTCAAACCATTGAAAACATCAAATTGCATATGCACTCCTCCATATTCCTGGTGCGTAAAAAATTTAAAAATGTGGAATACGATTAACATATGCTGTTGAAGAAAACAATACAAAACATACTTTAATAGGGATGGGTACCGAATTCGGTACTTTTTAAGGTACCGACCGAATTCCACAGTACCGACCGAGCACCGATCACTTCATTTGAAACGGTGCCTCGTTTCGGTACCCGTCCTTCATAACGAGAACTTGCCAAGACAGCTACGCATGCGCAAGAGCGTTATGTCATCGGTCGCTGCGAGCGAGTTGTAAACAGAGCAGCATGGTAGAAAGAACGCACGCTAAAGCTTGGGTCCACTTCACTAAATGTGATGGGTAACTGGGTGATGATGAAACCAGCGACAACGATCTAAGTGAGACATCCTCATCTTAATCTGCTCCGGTAGGTAAATAAAATGTTTAAGATAACCTTAGCTTGATTTGTTAGCTTCCGTTTCACTAATGGTGCGTTCGCTTTCTCCTCAGAACTCCGAAATTCCGACTAGAAGAACATGAACGCGCTCTAAAGTTTGGCTTCACTTTACTAAATGCGACGGGTGATTGGGTGAAGATGAAACCAGTGACAACGATCTAAGTGTGAGGCATCATTGTTTAAATCTGCTCCAGCAGCTACTGTTAAGATAACGTTAGCTTGATATGTTAGCTTCCTATGCCACCATTGTTATCATCTAATGGTGCGTTCACTTTCTCCTCGGAAATTCTATCTTCCTAGTAGGAAAAATCAATTGAAAAAGGACGGTAAAAGGAATGAAGATACACAGTAAATTTAGTTCACAGTAAAGATGTTTGCTTCAGTTTAATTATCAACTTATAAAACTACAAGGACGATGTTAAAATACAAACAGTTGCATGTTATTTATCGTGATATTTATCAAATATGGTTATATATTGAGAAAAATATATATTTAATATTTTTTATTCTCTTTTATAATTAAACACTCAAAAGTATCGAAAACTGGTACCTTTAAGTTCCGGTATTTATTTGTAGGTACCGGGAATTAGTACCGGATCGATTCATATGTCAAAGGTACCCATCCCTAGCCCCAATTCAGTTAATAAATCACATTTGCTCACATTAGCAAATTTGAAAGAAAAAAACTTTTTCTTTATGCAGGTCGTTCTATCTTCACCTTGCTACATAAAAAGACAGTTGCAAACAATTGTTCACATGAATCTACGGAAAAAGAAAAACAAAACCAATAAACAACAAAAACAAAATATTCCATTTGCAACCAATTACCATTTTTATCACTTGCTATTTATGTATGAGTCAATTATAAGTTGTTTATACAACATTTTAAATGATCTAATGTTTTTACATAATTTTAAAGTCACATCAAGTTTGTTCCACAGTTTGATACCACACACAGATACACACATACTTTTCATAGTTGTTCGGTATAATGGCAAAATGAAGTTTAACGCCTCTCAATTCATAACCTTCTTCATGAGTTTTAAACATCCTTTGCAAATTACCCGGTAGTACACCCATAATGGCCCTATACGGTACTAGGACAGTTTTAAATTGAATTAAGTCAAAAATTTGAGTAATCTGGAATTATAGAATAATGGAGTTGTATGATCTCTATAATCACAGAGTTAGGGTGCAATACATTTTTTCCACCTCTAGAGAACAAAAAGCTGATTTCTGCTTTAAGAAGTTGTGCAAACATAAATACAAGCAGCAGGACAAGGTTTCCGTTGTATCCAAGGGTCAAATCTATGCTATAAAGACCAAACAGCAATTAGTGCATCTTAATTTAAGAGATTAAAGTGACAGTGTGTAGTTTCCCTGGCCATAGGGGGCAGCACACCTAAATCACTTTGTGTTCAAATAAGACCTTACCAACGGATGCCCATTAGGGTAAAAAATTCCTGGGAGTGCAACCTCCAGCAAAATAACAAGACCATCAGATTCCCTTTCATCACTGGCAATGAGTGAAGAGGTAAATGTGTAAAATAACAACATTTATTATTGGTGAAAGTTTTGTAACCATTTCTTACAAATCAGTAAATGTATTTCGACCTCACAGACCTCAGTAGAAGGAAACACGGCATCCAATATGGCGTCGCCCAGAGACATAGATTTTCATGGTTATACGTTATAAAACTGCCAATATTTTTCAACAACTGGGCGTCTTTTAAGTCATTTACTACAACATTTTGATGTATATTTCCAGAGATAAATGGTAAAAACTACACATTGCCACTTTAAAGGATCTGCTTTGGGTTTCTGTAGCACTCTGACTAGCCATTAGCTCATCAATCCCGTTGAAGGCAAACTGTTTCTTCAGAGACTTTTCAGGAAGCTAGAAGGATTATCAAAAGCACATTTAAACTAAACTCTAATATCAAATCTTTAAGAAGCTGAAACACATTCTGTACAACAAACAGCAAAGCTACTTTTTAATGTGTTGGCACATTAAAGGCTTCCAAAACAGGATGTAAATGTAGTTCTGCATGATGTCACCTCCAAAGCTCAAAGGGAACAATGATGTGTAGATCTTGATCTACACACTGCTAAAACCATCTTCTGTCTGGTTTTGGGGAAGATGAACAACCAGCAGCAGAGTGAACGGCGTGCAGCTGCGCCCAATTAGCATAATCACAGATGCTTGCATCTTCAGTGAAGCAAAAGTGTAGCGTTACAATGAAACTTCATGACATAGGTGGGCCGTTTCAGTTAAAAATGGAAGATACCAATCAAATTAAAGGAAAATGATGAGATTAGATTAGATGGGAAATTAAATGACTCCACAGTTTTTCAAGGTGCAGAGCTTGCACATCTGTTTGTTTTCCCAGATCTGTGCAGCTTTTGCAGGACTCTTCATGTCTGTCGTCTGCAGCGGAGGAGGAGGGTTAGCATGACTCATATAGAGACAAAAGACACGCTGTTAGTAAATATCCCAGTTTGGGGTTGAATTGGGATTTTCCTGTCAGTGTAAATATAACAAGTCTGAAACCGTTTCCACGACGCTGGGAGTAAAAAACAGATTTTTTTGTGTTTCATCTCTTTGTTTCTGTGAAGCCTTCACTCTGAAGGTCTCTCATATTTTTTGGCAAACGGGAACAAACTTGGCAGGAAAACCAGATCAGCCCCCCCACCTCCCCCCCATCCCTCTCCTCCTCCCCCTCACTCACTCACTCTCTCCTCCCCTTTTCTCTTAAGTGTTCATTCAGAGCTCAGCTACTCTTTACACCTCTCTGTCCTTTGTCTCTGTTCTGTCTTTGTCTCTCCGTCCGTTCATTCGTCCATCCATGTGAACGATGTCCAGGTTCAGGTTTCTGACTGTTCATCTGCTTGGGGGCTCTCTGCTGCTGCTGCTGAGTTCTGGTGAGTCAACTGTCGGGCTGTTGCAGCTGTTCAGCTTCCTGTTCAGCTGAATTTGTTTTACAGTTTAACTGTAAAGATGTCTTCTTCTCCTCCCTGTCATCCTGCTGAAGCCACTGGAGGTCTTCCTCTCCCGTTTGTGTGATGGGTAACAGAATCAGGTCATGTTGCCTTTTACACAAGCAGATCATTCCTAATTTCCCCTTGTAATCTCTCCACAGACTCAAACGTTGTTGCTTTTGAAGTAAACTCAGGGAATTCAAACTTGCAGAATTAGTTTTAAAGTTGAGCGTAAATAAAAACTTCCCGGTCGGAGGACACGTAAAGAATAGAAGCACACCAACAGCTGGCGTGATGTCATTCTAATTCTTTTTGAGGTTAACATATTTTGCATTAAGACTGCGTGATTACAGGTTTTTATGCTGCAGACGTTTGAGTTGATTCTTGCACATAAGGAGATAAAACCTGCAGATTTGATGCTCAGTCACACCCACACCTCACGTAGGACAGTTGTGGGAAAATGCCGTAACCCCTAAATTACCACTCTCCTCGTGGGATCGTTGGTGTTTGTTTTTTGTCTAATTAGATTTAAATCTAATTTAGGCTCTCAGAAATTTGCTGGCTGTTGAAAAATCTGTGAAGATCTGCTGACGCCGCAGTGGAAATGCAATGTTTGAACCCATTGACCAGAGGACAAAGGAGAAGCATCATTTAATCCCTATAATTTAAATGAACCGCTAAACATCCAGTGTTTAATTTAATGTCTAACTTTATTTTGTTTATTGCGACAAAAACAAATATCAAAATTAAACTAATTTCTCAAACTTTTTCATTCAAAAGCGACAAAGGGCAATTTCACATTTCAGCTGCAAAAAGATGCATCAGATCTCTGGATGATTTTAAGATTACATCTCTGTTACAAACAAACTGCTTCCTCAAACATGGATCATGTGATCGACCCCTCTTCTACAGATGGTGAAACAAGGGTTGCCATGGTTACAGGGAATAGCGCTGGCTGTGCGGGACAGATATGCACAGCTGTCTGTGGCGCAAGATATCAACTGGCTAACCGTTACACTGCTCACAGGCTTCAGTTGTAATTGTCTTTAATTCCACTCAAGATAAACGTGTGTGTGTGTGTGTGTGTGTGTGTGTGTGTGTGTGTGTGTGTGTGTGTGTGTGTGTGTGTGTGTATGTGTGTGTGTGCGTGTTTGCATTGTACAGCTGGTTTTTGTAAAGTTTCTCATGTAACCTCGCCAACAACCACCCCCACACTATTTTTGACCCCCCTCAGACTTTAATTTTCCTAACTTCCTGTCACTCTTCTCCTGTTCTTTTCCTCCTTTTCTCTCCTCTTCCCAACTTCCTCTCTTTCCTCATCTCATTCTTTATTACTTCCCTTCCTTTCTCAATTCTCCAGATTTCCTTTTTCCCACCCATTCATTTGGTTTTTCCTTGTTCTTTCTCCTTTTCTGTTGGAGCATCCTGGTCCCAGACTCTGTTTGACTGACAGGTGACATCAGATGAAAAGTGTGTGTTTGTGTGTCAGTGGGTTTCACTTCCTCTGCAGTAACAAAGCTGTGATTAACAGATATTTAGAGATGACATACTTCCTGTTTGATCATCACTACCAGCCCTCCCCCTGACTTCCCACCACTGTGTGTGTGTGTGTGTGTGTGTGTGTGTGTGTGTGTGTGTGTGTGTGTGTGTGTGCGTGTGTGTGTGTGTGTGTGTGTGTGTGTGTGTGTGTGTGTGTGATGGTTAGTCTATGAAATGGAATATCTTAGAGAAACAATGGAGGGATGGGCTCTGAAATTGAGACCACCTGTCATATAAAAGCTAACACAAACCTCATGAATCCTCCATCAGCTCTAAATGGGTGTCCACTTCTCCCAACACAAACAGAGCGCTCCTTCACCGCTGTCTGCTCCATCCAGACACAAACATGTTGTTACAATAAACTCTGCTACTGATAGCATCTGATCATGTTATGTTCTGGTTATTTGGGTGAAATGTCCCTTTAATTCCATGTTTTTTTAAAGCAGGTGGGAAATGTTCACTGGCACTATTCAGATCAGAATTCACAGATTAAAAATGGTGGATTATCACTGTTTGACCTCATTTAGTGAATTTGTCATCACTGCATGAGGACCAGTTGGGTTTCAGAGCTCCTGAAAACTAAATAAGCATGTGTGTGTGTGTGTGTGTGTGTGTGTGTGTGTGTGTGTGTGTGTGTGTGTGTGTGCGCGCACGCTAAGGTCCCACGTCTCACATTAGGCTGAAGTATCACAAATAAATCAGTACTTATTAACGTCATCAGCTCAGCAGGGGGGCACAGGGCCGTTCCGAGCTTGCTATCGGGGTGGCACTGGCCCACTCCGGTCCCACCCTAGAGCCGCCCCTGTCGGTGATCGAGTCAGGCTAAGGTATTTTTTAACAAGAGTTTGAAAGGTTTATTAGGTCATAAAGCTTGGATTAAGTTCAGCAAAGATGTTTAAAATTAGGTCCGCGGTTACGATTGGGAAGACCATCTGGATGTTTACAAGGTGAGCTCTAAAGATGTGTTTCCGTTCATCTGTGGAAATCCAACAGGAGAAAACTGCAGAGGGGTGTTGTACTGTTTTAGGGACACTGCCCACATGTTTACCTGTGCTGCTCATTCCACAGACGCACATTCTTCACAACTTTTATCTCGTAAAGGCGACTCATCAGGGGTTCCGGCATATTTTACTGACAAGAATTATTGTCACAAATAAATAATCAAACAAACAAAAAACAACTTTTTGGACAAAGTTCAACTGAAGTCATCCTTAGTTTTTGGTAAACTTTTATCTTACCTGTTGTAGATGGCTTCCTGAAGGGCCTTTGTTTGGAGAAATAGTAAGCACATCCTACAGGACTGATGAGCTAACCACTAGAGCTAAGATCCAAGGGGATTGCTGACGTCTTAAAACAGCTCCAGTCTCTGAAATTTCACAGCAATTCCTGCAGTTAATTTGTAAACTTTTAATCATCTGTCAGTTATGCTTTACGCTTCTATTTTCGTTTGTCTTGAAATCCAGCAGTGTCTTTTTTTATTGTTATTATGTATTTCTGAAAAAGCACAGTGTGATGCATATTTGATGTTTTTGTATAAGCTAATAAAATAAAATGGCATGAACTGACTGGAGCTGCTTTAAGATGGTTTTCATTTGTGCTCTAAACACTTTAGAAGGTTATTTCTCCAGAGGCCATTCAAGGAGATATTTAGAATGGATCAGGTTATAATGATTTAGAATTTTATACAGAAACACGTTGGAAAATTAAAGCAAAGTTCTTTTAAGCAATGTTGAATCCTAATGTTTGAATAAGGTCAAGGGCTGAGCCTCTTGGGAACGATCGTGTTATCTAAAAAAAAAAAACCTGTAGTCAAAACAAACTTTCACTGATCCCAGTGTGAGAGATATGTTGAGCATCTAGTTGAATAGAGTCATGCACCACCGCATCCAAAGGGAGCAGCCGAGGAGGTCCGGGCGTCTTGTAGAGATGCGTACCAGATGTCCTCTGGTGGAGGTGTTTTAGAGAGGAGGCCTTGAGCTTGAATCGGGCTTTACTGGAGTAATTTTACCTCACAGCTGGATCGTGAGCAGCTCAGAGCCCCTCTTCAGATCTTCATCAGGGGGAGATCTGCCCCTGTGACCTAGTTCAAGATCAGTGCTGGAGGATGGATTAATGGATTTACTCTCTGAAGACATTTCTGCCTCATTTAAATGCTCATTCCTGTCCTCACTGTATGACAGACCTTCAAAGGGGTGTTTGGGAGGTCTGGGTTGCAGTCCTGTGTGTGCATGCGTGTGTGCGCGCGTGTGTGTGTGTGTTGTACAGAAGGAAATAGAAACAGCAGGATGAGTCCACCTGGCTGCAGTAGTGCAGAACAGCTGTTTTAATGCTTATCTGTTAAATGAGCTGCTAAACAGTCGTGTTGTTAGACTGTCAAAAGAAACACACACTTTACTGTACAGATAAACCGCAAACATCATGGCCGTTCATGATTTTATCTGAAATATGCTAAATAAATATTCTTCTGAGTGGAATTTGGCATCTACAGCTGCAAAAATGTGACTTTTAACCACAATAATGACACACAGTTTACTTTAGTTAGTGACATGCAGCTGCAGAAGTGAGTCAGGGAGCTTGCAGCAAACAGAAACACATACATGTTTATAATAATATAGGATTAAAAGTCTAGTAAAAGCTAAATAAATCTTTCTCCTCGGGAGGACAAACACTCCGACCGTCTCTCTGTGGTCTCATCAGTCACTAACTCAGGTCTGAGACGAACAGCAGAAGTATTTTCCCAAGCATGGAAACACTCTGGAGGTTCGGCTGGACGTGAAGGAGGATGAGGACGGTCCTGGGGGAGCTGTTTCCCATCAGACTGTAACTGAGGGGTTTTCTCATCACTTTATCTCTGTGGTCCGTCTGAAAAACATTTCTCTTCATTTCCACCTGTTTCAGAGGTGGAGGTGGGGAATTAGCCCCACCTGCTGTTTCTGTTTAAAAAACGGAAAGGCTTCTCTTAAAACAAGCTCAGAGAGTGAAATCAATTCACAAACAACTTAAAGGAGGACGTGTGTTATTAAAGACACTGAAATCTACTGCAGGAGGACTTGACCGTCAATAAAACCCTAAATATGATGTTTAAAACTTAATTTAACCCTTCCACTTTCCTATCAGGTGACCCCGCCTTGACAAGGGGTGACTCAACAGGGTTTAAAGTTTATGTCTTGGCAGGGGTGAAGTGATGCACCCCTTAAAAATATCTAAATAAAAAATAAAAATACACCACCTTTAGACTTTTTGACTCCCCTTTAAAACTGTATTTAAACACTAAATCTTCTTTAAAACATCTCCAAAGATCCAAATTGTGTGTTTCTAATTGTCTGAAGGATCACCAAAGCCACCTAAAGTCCAACAGAACTAGTTTTCCCTTAATCCTCGAGACACGCTGTTTATCAGATCATTTAGAAAAGAAAGCACCTGTCCTGGTGAATCCAAGCCCTCTTTTAGGAGAGTATACTCTGTTATCAAAGGTTATCCGGACATTTCAGACACTCAAACTCTTTGATGAACACTACGATCACATGGGAGTCGCGTTGGTGCAGGTTTTAAATTTCAGATTGATCAGACAGTAAGATTTCTGTTAAGTTGACTGTTCGGGACAGAAGAATTTTACTTTCTCTGCAGCCAGTGTTCATGCAGAGGAGGTGTGCTCTCACAGCTGGAAACGCTACACGGTGGGTGAATAATGCACATCAGATGAGTGCAGAGATGTTTGGTGGAAATGTGCAAAAAGCCCTCCTGGATATTCTCAGGGCTGCAGAAAACTGATTCAAGAAACTCGCCATCGCTGCTGTTTACTGACTGTTTTGACTCGTGGTTCATCGAGTGTCCCGTCTGACGTGCAGATTTAAAACATCTCCTTTGTGCAACAACAAAAACTCTGTTCAGCAATAAAGTGAAAACATGCAGATGTTTGATGTGAAGCCAGAACTCAGACGCAGACGCCCCGCGGATCCTCCTGCAAGCTGATGGGAAAATAACTTCCACACATGCCGGACGTGGAAAAATGTTAAATAAAATGTGGAAATAAAACCAAAATAAACATTTCTAAAGGAAGTTCCAATACAATATAATATGCAATAACACATTATTGACATGAAACAAACAGAAAACAGGTGTGTTCTTTATGTTTTCAGTTTGTGAGGCTCAGTATTACGACGACGTCACGCCAGCTCCAGATTACGACTCCAGCAGCAACTTCACCTTTGAGTACAGCTTCTACAGTGAGTCACACAAACCCTCAAACTGTTTTCTCAGACTACTGCGTCACGGTGGCGTAAACTCAGATGTTCTCGTGGATGATCTACCTCAGGTAACACCAGCGTTGATGACCTGGACAAGTTCTTTGTGTCTGTGGATGAACAAGAAGAAGAGGAGGAGGAAGTGACTGCAACTGTTGCCATGACAACATCCAAAGAAACGACGGAGGGTATCAGTGTCAGACTTCCTGGTGCTTCGTCTCTTCCTGTTACTCTGGTAAGAACTACAGATCAGTTAGAGGTTCAGATACACTGGACTCATTCTGAGTTAAAAACACTTTAAAGAGTTCTATTAAAGAGGTCGTAGGGCTTTTTTCTTAAGTTAGAATAGTTTTATGGTCAATACAAAACATTTTTCGTGGAAGTATTTGCTTTAAATCCTTCACACAAATGAATCAGCAGTTTTTATTCTTTACAGCTTCAGTTCCTTCCAGAATTAACCAATTTAGGCCTCTGTCACTTTAGGAAAACAAGCAGGAGCTGGCCGCACCCACCCACCCACCCCCTGACTAGCTACTATAAGCTGAGAAGCTCTGATATGTGGGAGGGGCTTGAAGTAGAGCCGCTTCTCCTCCAGCAGCAGCTCTTTCTTGCACATGAGAAGGAGATCTATTCCAGTTTCCTTTTTTGTTACATCACAAACACAAACTTTTTAAAATGGTTTGTTTTAGGCACATAATTGCTGAAACCAAACACTGACAGAAAATGAATGAACAGGTTTTTATTCAAGTGTTTTTTCAAGTGTTTACAGAGGCAGTAGAGACTCTCATGGTCTTTATAATGTAAATTTGTTGAAATAAATTCTTCAAAATATCTAAAAGTGGTCTCAAATCCAGGGAAGGGTGACAGAGGAAGTCCTCAGCCTTGAATGAAGGAATGAATGGCAAAGAAAGGTGAAGATTGATGCAAAAACCGTAAACCAGCATCAGAATGACCTCTCAAGACCAAATCACTTTCTTTACATGCATGTTTTGATTCTCGTTGCTGTTTGGGCTTATTTGAACCTGATAAGTCTAAATAGTAATGCATTCAACGTAGTTTCAGTGGGAGATTATGTCTACGAGTTGACTTCTTCAGTTGTAAAACCAAAATCTGCTGTGCACTAATGTGTGCACCAGGTCCTAAAATGTCAAGTAAAATAAAATATGATTAAAATCCCACACAGAAACTCAGTATCTCAACAACTTTCAGATTAAACAATCCATTTATATCATCTCCCCTTCAGAATAAAAGTCCATTCAGCATCATAAAATCCACTAAACTCTTACATTTAAGACATCTCATTCATAACGTGTTAAATGATTTAAAGAGAAATAATAAAGAAGCAAACAAAAAATGTCACTTTCTAATGAAGTTCCAGTTCTTCACATTTGTAGAAGCTGAGGAAAATAAGTCTTTGCTGATTTTTAATCCAGCAGCAGAAACAACATAATCTCACGGCAGCAGATGATCTGGATCAAAGTGAGGTTATTTCTGTTGTTATTTATGAAAAGAGCTGATTCAGCGGCAGAGCGCAGGTGGCTTCTGTTAACAGTCAGAGTCCATCTGCTTTCTGGGAGGTTGGACCAGAACTCTGCCAGCATCAATAAACATGACACTCCTCACTTCTAAGAAACAAATAGGTGGACACCGGTCTGCAGACAGAGGTGGAAAATCACAAACATGATTCACAGAAAATACAGAAATCCGTTGATTAGTTCTTGTATTCGGTAGATAAATGTAAGCTTTGTCTGCTGTGAAGGAATAATTAAAGTCATGTAGAGCTGATTTGTGGTTTTTAGGTCTTCTGGGTTGAATCAGTCTGGTATTTAGGGATGTTTCGTACAGAAGTGGGCCAAAAACTCCTTCAAGCTGAACAAAACCGAACATAATCCACTTTATGACTGGATTTAAAACCTCAAACATAAAGTTTTCATTTTCTACAAGATTATGTTTTCCAGCTACATTTGTTCCTCTGTGAAGATTTTGATCCAAAACCAGAACCGCTGCAGTCCCAGACTCTGTCCTACATGTTCCGACTGGTTTTTTCCTAGAAGATGCTCTGAATTTATGAGATGATAACATCTGTAAACTGGAATGAACATTTCAGTCAAATTTGAACAAACATTTTCACAAAATCAACACAAGTGACCTCAAATGTTCCTCCGTGAGTCATTTAAGTCGCAAAAAATAAAAGCTAAACACCATGTTTATGATTTACAGATGCAGCTGAATGCAAGGTTCGTGTTAAATGACATGTAATTAAAACAGAACACACAGGAGGTTAATAACAGCTCTCAGAAATAGAAGAAATGTTGGTTTCGAGGGGGCAACAAGCGTTTCGTGTGTCTGCCAGAAGGGGGCGCTCCACACAATTAAGTTTTAATATTTTCCAGATGATTTTTCAAGAGAAAAAAAATCCACAATATTTCATTAATCTAATTGGTATCTTCAGTAGTTTTTTTGTCTAATTTAAAGATGCGTTTACTGTCTGCAGGAATTTAGGACGCTGATCTGGAGTCTAATGATCCTGATGATGGTTCTGAGGTTACAGCAGCTGTGACACACACATTCAGGTAGGTCACTCGTGCTGAAGTATTCACGTGTCAGTTGGAAGTTTTCGATTTTTAAAATCACAGCAGGAAACACTGAGATCAGCACAGATCTCTCTTTTTTTTGTAAACTTGAATGTGACATCTGATCGCCTCAGGAAGGAGATGAGAGGGAATTTTGTGATTTAGCTCGCATTAAGTACTCATAGTGATTTAAAACAAGGAAATGTGCGTTTTCCCATCAAAATAGTTTTAAAATACATAAAAAGTCCACATATGTTGGTAGTAATGAACACATCTGATGTAGTTTTCAAATGAGCATCCTTTAGACAAGAAGTGTGGAAACTTTTTGAAAACAGGAAATTCTGACTCATCATTTTGAATGTCAGTTTATTTGTGAGAAAGAGAATAATTTTACATTTGAAGAGGATAAACATGTCGAATCTGCTGCAAACAAAAATGGTGAACATTTACTTTTGGTCGCAACAGAAGAAAATCAGCATAGATTCATTTTATTTACTGGCTTGTGGTTTTATTTTACTGTGTTTTCCTTTTCGTGTTGACTGCTGGAACTTTATAACCATTTTTTGTGAACAGAAACCTTTAAAACGCATTGGACGCAACAGATGAAAGGCATTATATAAAGTACATTCTTAGCATTCTTTTAACACACAAATCTCTTCATTTGAAATTTTACCCAGGTGATATTTCAAACGCACCAAAAAAGAACTGAAGGTCTTCATCCGCACCAAACTGAACTTTGCTGATCCAGTCCGGTGAATCTTTGATAAAATTGTTCCGTTGTAATTAGATGACTTCACTTGATTCAGCTGGACATTTAGGATAATGTTGAATTATATGTGAAAAGTTTAAAGGTCTATGTAAATGTTTTATGTGAAATAATTAGTTCATTTGTGACATTTAGAGTGAACATCAGATTTAAGCTGCTGCATGAAAAGGGACCCATACAAAAGTTTGTCTTCAGTTGAGATAAGATGTTGGATCAAAATGTGACTAAGGGTTGTCCTCAGCTGAAGATATGCACGGATCATTCTTTTAATTAATTATGAAATTTTATTTGATAACAGATCACCAATTAAAACCCTTTGTTATGATTAAATTTGTATTAAAGCAACATAAAATATTGAAAGTGCATAATGTTTTTCTAAAAACAGTAGTCTCATTTTAAATAAGTAAACTGTTTAAAATGTCTGAACAAAGAAAACGAAATCTTGTTCATTCTGAGTGAGCAAAGGGTCAAACCTGGAGAAGGTTTGGCTCAACAGGTTAGCATCAGATTGCTAACATGGATTGTTTTAAAGAATTAAATGTAAGGAAATCTTTTAACTTTTTGTCCCCCAAAAACATTTTAAATAGTAAATACTGCTAACAATACTGATTCCACTGAGGAGGCTAAATATTTTCTTGTAGAACTTACTGATGAGGCGTTCCTCAAGGCTGAGTTGTCGGTGCCCTACAACCTTCTCTCTTTACGTCAGACCATTTCTACATCATGAAACTACAAACAGAGAATATTTTGTGATAAATGTATTGTTGATTATAGCTGATATGTCACCCTGTTGACCGTTTGGACTCAACAAAAATGAATATAAACAAGAATTTAATTTCATGACATCTGATGAAAGTTAAACTATGAGTTATTTAATGAGTTTGTGTGTGTGTGTGTGTGTGTGTGTTTCAGCTTGTTGGTGGGTCTGTTGATCACTCGACCTGAGGTGGACCTCAGTAGAGACTGAACAACTCCACCACCACCACCACCTCATTCCCAGTCAAGACCAGTTTGTGGCCCTCGGCGTGGGATCAGGTGGACTTATGCCAACCATAGACCAAAAAAAGACTGAACTGTTTTACGCATTGAAGCTTTTTTAAATGGAAATATATCTGAGATTTAATAGCACAAGAAAGTAAGGACGAGGGTCCTTCTATGACATTTTATATTGAAAAGAAAAATGGCAGCATTAACTTGTCTGGTAGAAACAATGAGGTTGTGCTAACTAACATAATCATCACACTATAAATATGCGAACACAGAAATCTGCAATAGGGTTCTCAAACCACTCTTAGTCTTTTGAAATAAAAAGAAATTTCAGACAAATGTGAGTATTCATGCATCCTCCATGTTAAACAGACAAAACACTTTAAATGAGATGTTCATCAAAAGACCTACAGATCCTTATTGTTCCCAAACACAAAACAATCAAAAACAAAAGGCGTTAATGATCATGACAAAGTACAGCATAAGAAAAAAGTTATTTTTTAAACAAAATCATCTCTCCTGATCCAAAAAGCCTATTGAGTTGGATATGATCAATCAATCAATCAAAGCTTTATTTATAAAGCGCCTTCCGCAACCCTGTCAGGAAGCCCAAGGCGCTGATATGATACAAAAGGGACACAATTACATCCAATTTTATATTTTTATAACTAAATCTGTATTTAGTCGAACGATTGCAGAAGTTGTGCAGGACTGAATTTTTCATGGTCATCATAATCTTTGACTAAATGAACATAAACACGAAAATCTTTCTCATCCTTATAAATGTTTGATGCTACTGGTCTCATTAAAAATATTTGCATTAAAATAAAAAGGATGTGATAATTATAATAACAATAAAGAAGAATCATGATTTTACAGCATGTAAAATAAAGACCTTTAGCAGTGAGGGAGAGACTAAATATCTGTTTTCTTCAGATAGTTTTATATGGATTTGTTGTGATAAACAAAACAAAAACAGCTAAAGGGCGACAAAAGTTTAGCTCTCTTTTAAACGTCTTCCAACTCCACTAAAGCAGCATGTGTGATCTTACTTTATTTAAAACACCCATAAATACACGTTTCTTAAATTTCATACACATTTTTCCTAGTTTAACCTGTCCTGAAAACATATGTTTGAAAAATGTTATGTGTGCACAGTATTGTGGTAAAGTATTCCTTTAGAAATCCTTAATTTTTATTTTATTTTTTTTCTTTTTGGCCAAGGATACTGAATGCACCTTTTTTGCTTTGAGATGCGAATTTGGTTTCCCTTTGGAAAATTTTTATATAATTTCATGGAAACTGACAAAAAATAGGAAAGTATCTGTTTCGGTCAAAGCTGGAGTTTTTCTCTAATGGGATTTCTGGTGGGTTAACTGTGCTCTCTGGTGAGAAATTAGGACTTTACAGTGAAAAGTGTTCCTTTGAAACAAAAATCATTTAGAATCTAAAATTTCTTTTTCTGCCTGTATTGTTCTTTATATAATCAACTTCACTCCAACATGAAGATTTTCCGTTTTTATCTGGAGTTTTACCTTGAATCAAACTTTGCCAAAACAATTTTATTAAATTTTTTGTTACATTTGATGTGAAGACAGAGTAAAATTTTTCAATTGCTTTACAGGACAGAAATATGGTTATTTATTCCCTTTATGTTAGATTGTTGGAATGTTTGGTTCAACGCCCTGTCTCGTCAAAATAAAAGCATCAGAGATTGTGCTGCCTTTATCCTTAAATTGTGTTTCAGATTAGATTGAGTTTACTTTTGTACAGACTGTTAAAAAAGTTCATCCTAATCATCTGGGTGAGGGAAAATAAAATCCAAAACACCAAAGCAAAAAGCAGAGATGTGTTTATTTTGTTTAATGAAGTTTTAAGTTATTTAAAGCTCACAGGGAATTTTTTAAACAACTGAGAACAGATGTGTATGTGCTTTATTGTTTATGTTTGTGTTTTGCAATAAAATGCAAGAACAATTATAAATTGTCATCTTTTTAATTCAGTGTGCTGGCTAGCAAAAACCTAACAATAGAAAATATGAATAATTTTGAATAAATTACGTGTCCGATTAATTAAAACTTGTGCTTTATGTGTGTGATCTTTTCATTCATTAGATACGTTTTGTGATGTTTACTACTTAAAATTATATTATTGTTAAATGACTTGGATGTAAAAAAAACTTTTTACTTTGGAAAAAAAAAGATATTTTAAAGTTAAAGTCGTCCTTGTTTTTAAACTATTTGTCTTTAATTGAGACTTCCTGCTGTTTTACATCATGAATGTTCAAAATCAACATCCATGAAGGTCTTTTATTCACCAAGCATCAGGCCCACAGGCAAAACAGTTTATTTTCTCCGTGGATTAATCTCAAAGATAAGAGCTGTTCTCGCCTTTACCTGGATAACGTTAGTTTTTTTCTTCAGATATCAAAGACGACTGATGAACTCTTCCACAACAGCCAATAGGAAAAACTCCACAATGTTCAAACAAATCAACTGAATTTTTGTTTTCCTCTCCGACAAATATTAAATATAAGGATTTAAATGTAGTCACTTCTGAAGAAGTACTTCTACATTACACAGTCTGAAATCATCACATATTCAGGTCTAAAGTTTACCTCTGACTCTATTATTTCATCTGAGTCACATGATGATGTTTTCACCTGAGCGTGACTTCGTTCGTGTCTGCTCGGACTCCTGGTGCGTCTTGCGCTTGGGGTTCATTTCTGGTGTCTGTGTTTAAAATGTTTGCTCAACGATCGGTTTGATTGTGATCCGAGGTGTCGGTTAACGACGAGTCCATCAGTGACAAAAGTCACAGCTAATGTTGATTAGCTGATTAGTGGCCTCAGGCTGAGGAGGTTATTTCAGTCTGGGAGGTATTTGCACGCCAACATAAAAATTACACCAGCATCCTGGTAAATGTCAGATTTGTAATCTGGATCTCTGTCATAAACTGATGAACATATGTGATTTTTTTTTTTCAGAAATGTAGTAAAATCCAATCAGAACCCTTCTAAAACAGACTTGATCCATCTCACACACAGGCCAGTGCGCTGGGCCAGTCGGAACACACACACACTTCGGATCAAAGGTGTGTTTGATGCTCTTCGTTGACCTTCGGTAAAACTGGACTGTCAGCAGATTAAGACGAAACATCAGCTCTACCGCTTCGACAAGCTAAAACTGAACACGTCGTTTCATCCACAGCAAGATGACAAATTCTCCTGATGAAGACGATAAAGTACGACGACAAACACCGAGGCTGAATGCATCTCATGCAGCAGTCCCATACAAATATAAAAAACACTTTTTATGTGAACCAGAAGAACTATGGATGACTTTCCTACTTATAAGTAATTAAAGCAGGTTAACAGCAACAGAAATATTGAATGGGTTTGATAAATGAATTGCAGTTCACCCTGTCTCTGAAACAGCTTACAGTCGGGGGGGATCGTCAGAGATGTGGCCCAGACTCGACTGCTCCTGACAGCAGTGGTGCAGCCGTGTCACAAATCCCAGCTAACCTCACAAATCACTGCTTAGCTAATGGCCAAGGCCGGATTATAATACGGGCAAACTGGGCACAGGCACAGGGGCCCACAGCCACAAGGGGGCCCACGCGAGCAGCAGTGTATTTTTGTTTGTTTGTTTGTGCAGCAGTCTTAAAGTTGTAGAAATAAGTTGACAAGTAATTAAAATTGCGCCCACATTTTCTAAGTTAACACACATTTCTTTTAACAATGGTAGTTTTTGCATTTTTACTGTTCCCTGCTTCAGTCCTCTCCCCCCTCCCCCGCGCAGCGGCCGCAAACTCACTGATGCTCCTGCAGCCTCTCAGAGTTCCTGCTGACCTAAACATTAAAATAATTATTTCATTTTCTGTTCCTCACTTCTGATTACCTTCAATCTGAGTGTCTGTTTGTTGCAACCACCAGGTACAAAAACTAACTTGTTTTTATTTGACTATTTTTCTGCATCTCCTCTCACTCCAAAAGAAAAACGACTACCTGGCTTCATATTTTTCACCTTATGAGTTACCTTTGAACTGCAGGTCAAAAAGATCTATCGACCGTAAAAAAAGCAAAGTGCGCCAGCAGTTTAACTGCGCGCGCCGTGCGCTGACCGCACCGGTGAGATGAACTCATGAAACGATATGAGCCGACTTCAATGATCGCGTGTTAAATTTGTTTTTGAGGTGGCGACACTTTGATAATGTTACTGGCCGTGCTCAGGACGCATCTGTCTGGAGCGCGTCAACGATCAGAGCTCTGCGCCTCTCAACTCAAAATAATCCCCAGAGAGTCCACATAGATAATGTAATATAAGTAGAACCAGGATCGTTTTCGGGCTAAAAAATAGTCTACAGTCCATCTTCCCTGATGTGTTTGTGGCCCTGCGGATTTTTCTAACTCTACCAAATTGTGAAGGGGAGCGATCATTTTCACAAATGGCAAGATTAAAAAATGAACTGAGGACAACACAAACTCAACAGCGCCTCAGTGCACTGTCACTGATGGCAATTGAATGTCAGCTTGTCAGGAATCTGGACTTTGATGACATTGTGACTGAATTTACTAATAGAAAGGCCAGAAAGCAGTTTTTCTGAAGGCAAGAGACAAGACCGACAAGAGGAGACAAAAAGAGGAGAAAGGAGCCAGGAGTTGGGGGTGGGGGTGGGGGGCTTACAAAAGCACATTGTGCCCAGGGGCCCCTGCAATGATAATCCGGCCTTGTTAATAGTGATGGCTGATCACCAGGATCTTCATGTGCCTGCCCACTCACCACTGCTGAAGATCATCTCTCATCTAGACCTCCTGAAACTCAGCATTGTTGTTCCATTTTACTCACAACTAGCTAATATAGGCTTCATGATTACATGCTCCAGCACCTTAATGTGCATCCTGCAAGATAATAAACCAAAACCACCTTAAAAGTTTAAAAGAGCAACATGTTGGAATTCTACAGTGAAATAAAGACAAAACAGTCTAATGTCTGAATGATCTTTTGTGCATTCATGTGTTTCTTCTAACTGCATTACTTAGTTCTTCGGATGATCATATTAATGGACTGGGACAGAACAAGGATCATAAACACCGAAAAACAAAAATACAAAAGATGGATTAAGGAAGTCATAGAAACAAGGAGACATGGACACACGACCATGAAGAAAGATGATGAGGTCCACACATTGGATCACGCATGGGACTGTGTCATCGTCGAGGAGAGTACGGGCAGCAGAGGGTGACGCCGTCCTCTACTGCCCGCATCTAAACCGAGAAGCCAACAGCAATGACCTCTGAAGAAGACTGCTGGAGTAGTCGCAACATGAGTAAAAAAGAAGGCAAAACAACCCTTTTCTGTGTTAAAAACGAACCAAGTAAAGCATGTTTCAATGATATTGGAAATATGGTTTTATTGAAATAGATTTCCTTCTCAGTCGGCTGGAGGGTTTCCAGTTTTTCTTCTTTCAAAAAAAAAGAAAGAAAAGAGGGACATAGGCACTGTTAACAATTTGTGAATTTGACACTGGAAGGCAAAAATATCCAGAGTTGTTTAAAGAACCAAAACCAGTAAACAGGAGCAACCCAGAGGATATTTTTTGTAATCCTAAGAAGCAGCATCCTCTTGTTTTACTCTAACATTGAGCTAACAATGCTAACTGTGAATTTAAACATCTCAAGCTACTTTTTTCAATTACCAACAACTTGATGATACGGTGAAATGTGTGAAGCGAATAATGGTAAAATGGTAAATGCCCTGTATTTGATATAGCGCCTTCTAGAGTCCTGGAACCCCCCAAGGCACTTTACAACACAATCAGTCATTCACCCATTCACACACACATTCACACACTGATGGTGACGAGCTACGATGTAGCCACAGCTGCCCTGGGGTGCACTAACAGAGGCGAGGCTGCCGAGCACTGGCGCCACCAGTCCCTCCGACCACCACCAGCAGGCAACGTGGGTTAAGTGTCTTGCCCAAGGACACAACGACAGCGACAGACTGAGCGGGGCTCGAACCTGCAACCTTCCGATTACGGGGCAAGCACGTAACTTGAATAATGAGTCAATCGTGGTGTTTTACTTCTTTTAAAGAGTCATTCAGAACTGTGACAGCCAGCAACAGCAAGATGGCAAACAACCACGCTTCCTCTAATGCCGGAGGCCTATCACCATAATAAAAGTAGTAGGTTCTCCCTATTGTAAAACATCCAAGAATACTCGTCATCGCTAATCATCTAGAATCTTCTGGTGCTGATACGTAACTGGCTACAGCCATGAAACTCATGGAACGGGAGAGAGAAAGAAAGTTTTTGTTTAGAAAGATGGGCTGCAGTAACCAAATTTGACCACAAGATGTCCTTCTGATGTTATTCTTATTTCAAGTCCACAAAGTACAGAACACAGTCCTTAACTTCACAAGACCTTAACTTTCCAAAGTAAAACTCATTGACTTGCTATGAAGTAGAAATCTTTCTGAATAGAAAAAAATGCTGCAGCAGTTTTTTTTATTCGTGTTTTTGAGCCAGTAAAAGCGACCTTCTGTTTATTCTGTTGCTGTTCCTCATTTTTCTCCTGAAGGTGACTGAAGGCGAAGCGCCGAGGCTGGAGGTCGCCTCGTCCTCTTCCTCTCTGGGTTCCTCTGAATAAACAGTGTGTGCGTGACGCCAGCTTCAGCCTCCACTGTCGAGTGGAGATTTGTCTTTGGCTGCAGGTTTTATACTAATTCTGACCCAGATAAAACTCTGTGACAAATTCAGCACAGTCTCCATTAAACTGCTGTTGATCTGGGACTTGATAAAAAGTAAATAAACACACTTGGAAACGCAAACAAATAGCTGAGATTAATTTCAGTTCAGAACATTTTTGTTTATGTAGTAAATTAATTTGGATATGAATGATGGTGTCTTGTTGTTTATTTCTATTGATTATGCCCTTAGATGAAAGTTGTGGGATGTGAGACATGAAAAAGATCTACTCATCTGGCCCAGATGTTTTCTGCAGATGCAGTTTCATCTCACATGGAGCAAATTCGCTGCTGGATGTAACAGATTTAGCAGCTTTGTACAGCAAAGGCATCGTCCAGCGTGCAAACTGTCACTGCTTAGCTGGTGACGCGACAGAAGCTCCTCGGTGAAATGACATTTAGCCGTTAATGAAAGCTGAGATGAAAGCAGAGAGTGAACCAGTCAAGCTTCAGGTCACAGCAAGATGCAAATCAGACAAAGAAAAGGGCACAAACCGTTGTATTCCTTCTGCGTCATCATTATACTCAGACTTGACCCAAAGTCAGCTTCCCCCAAACCAAGTGAGGTGTACGATGGGACTTTATCAATACAGAGCCTCCTAAGGGTGCTGACCTTTGACGTGTGACATGAAGCTGCTGTTTAATGAACAGGTGAGAACAGATGTTCCTGTTGTCTGTGTCCAGGTATCAGACCAAACTCCATGTGTACTCTAACATCTATCATTTTGATCAGCATAAAACAAACTGTGACACTGGTTTATTTCAGTTTTTGAGCACATTGATTTCAGTGGAACGGTGGCATTTGCAACTCGAATCAAAACATCAAAAAGACACAAAGAGACAACAGAATTAATGTGAAACATAAAACAATAACAGAAACTCACAATGATCAAAGCCAGACAAATTTAATACATAATTATTAATTATTCTGATTAAAAACATTACTTACGATGGAGATTAAATGACAAAAGACCAGAATAACTAGTCAAATTTACAAGACTAAACAAAAAAAAAGACAAAAATTTGCTTCAGAAAATCAAAAAACCAAAGTAAAAAAAAAAAAAATAACACAGACATTTCCAAAATATCTAAACACAACTAAACAATTAAAAGGATTAAACGTCCTAGATTTTTGAGTTACTTTATTCTTTTCAGGGATCGAACCTGAAATTGTGTTTGTCTCTCTGATTGTTTTGATTTCAACCTAATTTTAACTTTTCTAGTCAAAGTTCTCTTGCTTCTTCTCAGTTTTTCTCACCTTCAGCTGTAAGTCACAGGTTGACCTCTGGCCTCTCTACATGAAACATGTCAACATTCAGCATCAACCTGTTTAATATTAACTAAAAGACACGCCATCAATCACAAGGCACCACGTCCACTCACTTTATCTGATGAGCTGAATACATGAATAATCTGAAAGAACAGCATCACAGCAGGAGGAGGAGGAGGAGGAGGAGGGAGGAGGAGGTATAAATAAAGGAGCAGGAGAAACCAAAGCACATGAGGAAAAAGGTAAAGTGCAACAAAAAGAAGAAAGGCCACTGGAGAAATAAAAAAGAGCACACGCAGCTGAAGTCGGACACCACAGAAGAAGAAATAAGGGAAGCAAAAACAATTTTTTCCATTTCTGTGAATTTAAAGTAAGTTTATGTTTATATTTTAGGATTCCACTTTAATGCATGAACTAAGCAATAATATATTAAACATTATCGTGCTTCCTTTTCCTTTTTTTAGGATTTTCAGCTTGTTTTTGGTGATGGAGAGCTTGCGAGCAGTCGTCTACCTGTCCGTCTTCTTGTCTTTGATGACATCGGTCTGCCAGGGTGAAAGGTCATCTGAAAATCAGCTGCAGTCTGTGTCTGATGAGCCCGTCTTCGGACTGGCCACCAACGAACTGGTGAGGGCTTCCGTCTCAAACCAGAGCTAGGACGCTTGACGCTTCTTTCAAAGTGGGGGAAAAAACAATAGATTTATTTTTTTGCAATTAAACACTTTAAAGCAAAATAAAATTATAAATGTTCCTATTAAAAAGTTCTAAATTGACTTCTTGCAAAGTTTCAGAAGCAAGTTGATGGAAATTGTAAGTTAGATAAAAAGTAAGAGTTTTATGAAATTTAAATAGGGATGGACAATATGTCGGCATCAATATCGGTATCGGCCGACGTCAGTCATTTTTTAACATATCGGTATCGTTCGGTAAATAAAACCGGGCCGATATAAACAACCGATATTTTTTCCATCTCATCTTCCTTAGTTTGCCTGTTTCAGAGGGTGAGGGGGGTGATGTGTAATTGTTTATTCATGTGAACAGTGAATGAAATAATCTCAGAACCATAAATGTGTGTGTTGTGTGTACATAACGTAAATTCAACTTTAATAATTTTCATTCTATACAAAATCTGCTGATTTTAGAAGCATTAATGTCAGTATATCGGTATCTGCAAATATCGGTTATCGGCCATAACAGTGATCTCAATATCGGATATCGGGCATCGGCCCAAAAACTTCCTATCGGTGCATCATTAAATTTAAACATTTAGAATAAATAAGAGAGGGTATCAAAATCCATCTAAATCTATCAATCAGTAAAGTAGGATTAAAATTAAAGCAAAACATATACTCATTAAATTGTTCAATTTAGATAATCTACATTTTCAAGGCTGCAGAATTTAAGAATTTCCATTTTTACCAGATATGTTATTTGATTAGAAAAGAAATCTGTTGGGATCACATAAAAATGATCAAATTTAAAGTAATTGATTACATCAGCCTCTAACAGGCTACAAAAAGAAGAAGTTTGACTTAACAAAATGACTAAAATCATCAGATTGACGAAGAAGCACCAGCACATTTATTTATATATTATTTTATTAATGTTTAAATTAAAATGGATTTTATTTTAGTCTGATTGTTTGAAGGTCAGTAAATGTCATGGAAACCAGAAAAACACGGAGACAACAAAACAAAATGCTCGTTTGTGAGAGTGAAAAAAAGCTTTGTGCTTAATGTGTTTTATCTAAACGATCTACTGACTGTTAAACACATTAAAATATATTTATTTGATTGATTTTTTTGTATTTAAGGTGCCAAAAATACAGCACATTCATCTTAACTGATCATTTTTGTTATATAAAAGAATCTGAAGCTCTAATTCCCACTCCTTGCCGTTTCTTATTATTAATTTTAATTTATTAACTCTTCTTAACTCGTCATAGCTTCATTTATTAGCTGGAAGCTGAAATATCCAATCAAACCAACAACAGACATAGCTATGAGGAAGTACATCAATTATTATAAATATAATCTAAATTAAAATAATATCTTAATAAAAGAGGGTGCTAAAAGTCTCATAAATTATAAATCATCAGATGAATTGATAAAGATATTTTCTTGCAGCCAAATTCACTTTTATTTGTAAAGTTAATGTGGATTCAAATCAATTTCCCTCTGGGATTAATAAAGTATTTTTGAATTAAATTGAATTATTGTCATTTTAGATCTTTTAGTAACTTTGTAGGTTTGATACCAACTTTCTGGTGATCAACTCATGTGATAATGATGATAAAGTTAAAGAGAGTGAATGCAATTGTTTTATAAATAATAAAACAGCAGTTTTAGATAGATGATGAACAAAAATGACCCATTATAGATATGTACAAGTGTGGTGTGTCTCTGAAAGGAATACAAACTTTAATAAAAGTGTTTTTACTTTGATTGGATCACATGAGACAAGTGTGAACGTGGTGTTACAGACAGTAAATCTGTGTTTCTGAGAACGTGTTTGTGTCTCAGGCTGAAGCCCTGCAGGGTCTCCTAAACGAAGCTGATGCCAGAGTCGGTCTCTCCGTGGAGAAGAAAGCCAGTGTGATTCCCCGGGTGAGAACACGACTGATCTGATGGCAAACATTACTATTAGTAGTAATAATAGACAGAGGAGCAGTCCTGCTGCTTGAAATGACCACAACTGACTGGATTTCTTGAGGAGTTTATCTTTTGTGTCACTAAATAGCAGAAATAAACTATTTCAAAGCAAAAATTTATATAATATGATGCAACACAGCAAAGGATTCTGCAAATGAGGCCGTTACAAGTCCAGGTACCATATCAGTGGACATCTGAATGGTACAGACATGGACGCAATTTTGGGGGTGGGGGGGACATGCCCCCCCCCCCCCCCCCCCCCCCCCCACACACACACACACACACACACGTTTTCCAAAGTCAAGTTTTGACCCCTGCACTTTTTACCATCCAAAAACAATATTACTTTCTATTAAATTGACACTGGTTGAGCTCTAGGACCAAGCAGAAAACAACCGTTTGTGTTGAAGCCTGTTTCCCATTAGAGCATACTGTAAAGATCCCCCCCCCCCCCCCCCCCCCACATTACGTCCATGGGTACAGATAATTGTGTCAAAACAGCAGCTCTGTAGCAACTCTGTAAAACACTGAAACACTTGAAACACTTTGCTACTGATCATTAAATATTTAGCTTCCTTGGGAATCCCCTACTACAGGATGTCAATATCTATATTTGTGTGTACTTAAATCATCCTGATTAAACTATTGAAAACTAAATCTACAAGATAAAAGACCTAAACCTTCCAATGCTGGAGGGAAACTTAATGTTCCTGCAATTTCATTTGTTGAGACTCTCTAAAGACGTATTAGGCAGAGATCATTTCAAAGCAAATGAGTAAACTGCCAATATGAACATCAAAGAAGAGAATATTTGTGATCATTTATTTCATTTTTATGACACAAATTTAATCCCATATAGCTAAAACCCATGCTTTTCCCCTCAGTGTGATGTTGGTGAACGCTGTGCGATGAAACATGGACCGCGGATCGGTCGGCTCTGCGACTGTCTGAGAGGAACAGCCTGCAACACATTCTTCCTGCGCTGCTATTAAACTCTCATGCTGTAAGTTCCTTTAAATTTGTGAGGACATGACCTTTAACCTCCTAAACAAACCGGGCCACCTGTCCTCACACAGATAAAGGAACATGATGTCACACACTCCTGGCTTTGTCTTTGTATGATTGTGTCTTTGTTTTAAAGTTCCGTGTTTGCTCTCCAGATTCATTTATTTTTTGGTAATAAAGATTCTTCATAAAGCTGCACGACTCCAATGGATTAATGATTTACTCCCCACATGTTAGGCTGCTCATCCACCTGACAAGTCACACGCAGACTGTTGAGGCATCAGATAAACTTTATATCATGCCTTTATATCTTCACGTTTGCTGTTTGCCATGAACTGAAATTTTTTTCAAAACTAATTTATTTTAATTCTATGATGGTTTTAGAACCATATTAAAGAAAGCGCTCTGGTAATTCAGAACTCAGCCTGGTGGTGGCAGTGTTGGGTCATTGTTCTGATGTTTGATCTGGAACAGAAAGGGCAGAATGTCTGTTTCGCATACACTTTTGTTATTTAACAATACTAAAGCATGAAATATGTTTTTATATGTATGTTTACTCTATTTTCACCATTTTGTTTTTAAATCTTTACTGTTTTGCAATTAAAAATGTTGGTGTACCACAAGGCTGTGTATTAAGTCCTCTGAATATTTTAATACATCAGCTTGAAGATTTATTTTTTACATACTGGGTTTGAATTTTTTATAACGAACTTAAGAAAAGTCCATGATTAAATACTTTCTATATAGTACAAACTTCATTTTCATGGAAAGAGGTTCACAAATGGTACAGAAGGTGGTTTCAGCTTCATGTTGAGGGCCAAGAATTATTGCAAAGAAACTTTAAATTTACAGTAAAACATTTCTTTCATAAAGAAAACTGAATTATTTTTATCAATACTTTGAAAATCTTATAAATTATTATGATTCATCAAAAAGATGTGGAGATATGACCTAGCAAGCCATCCTGTGTGAATATATAGTCTGGTCACAACTCATTGATGGATCTGTAGTGGGGCAGGATTGACTGTTGTCTTTCAAACTGTCTCTTCATGCTATTGGAAAACTGACACTATGACGTATTCACTGCTACAGATGTCAGTCAACAGGGCAGTCTACCATATGCTGTCAAAGAAGATGCAAGTACATCCTTTTTCTAAATGAAGTGAAGTACCTCTATTTGCTCTTGATTCACAGAAAAGTCTGAGTCTAAACAGTTCAAAGTTGATGCCAAAACCATTTCAAATGAGCGGTTGCCATCTTAGTTTCGCTCAGTCGCGGTAACATCCCACCTACCAAACCGATAGAGCGCTGTGATTGGCACGACACTAGACTGGTCAGGGTTGCGGAGGTTCTACTGGAGCATGGGTAGGCCGACATGTAGTGCAAAATCATTTTTCTTCTGCTACTGTCCGTCTAGATTTCTAGGCTAGTGGAGATAACTTTTAAACCAGGAAAGTTCTATTGAATAAAAACAAACATTTACTTTTAACTTCGTATTTCCACTGAACGCAGAAGTAGTAGACGCATTTTACCCACGAGCTCTCTACCCATCGAGAGCGTTTTTCAGATGCAAAATGCCAGCATATAAGTGTTCCACACAGCTGGTCGGGCAAAGTCATGAAATCACCAGAGATTTACAAAACTAAGTGTGTAGCGACATGAATGGCCTCATTTGTGACCCAAAGGTCACACTTCCTCAGCTGAGTCAAGCTGTCCTGGCTGTACTTCTATCTACAGATTATCCACCACAGGAGACGCAAAGTCTGCTGTAAACCATCTTTAATCTGACTGCCTTTATCTGACTGCTGTTCCATCCGCAAGACGAAGGACACTTCAAGATTTAAAAGAATCATTTTTAATAAACTCTTTTCACTGTCTATTACAATGTTCATAAATAATCATCAAGGTTCATTATAAATGTATTTAATTACTGAAATGAATTATTATTCTTTGGTTAATAATAATAATTATTTATGATAATCAGTAATGTTTAACAGTGACAAGAAGATCATGTGCACTTATACACACCATGCAGGACACAGAAATCAGGTTAAAGGTAACTGCACTCACATGTCTTTGTTCCATAACACTAAAGGTTTCTATCTTGGGAGGGCGTGTTGTGAGGTATGTTAAGTACCACCCTCTAACAAGTCCTAAAATCTAATTCGTTAGAATAAGATTACCGGCCATCTCTTAAAACCTAACTCCTCACTTCAAGTTCAGTTCGTGAGCCCACCAAAATTCTCTCCGTGGCAACGAGAGTCCAGAGGATCGGGTCGGCCGCTCGAAACCTCTACTAAAGCTTTTCTGTCACGCCAATAGAATTGCCTCAACAGAAACGCCATCAGCAACAAGCTGACGCTACGAGATTCCTTAAGAATCTGCTCGGACGCCATACCATCCACCTGTGTACCTGCGGCAACTCTAGGACCAGAGAGTCGGTACCACTGGTCTCCCCTACCGGACCGAGTACCCAGAGGCTGATCAACGTCCTCCCTTGACCTCCGGATCTGAAGAGAGGGTCGTCTGAACGGTGAGGCAGAACACAGATTGCGTCTGAATGCCTGTAATTTAGCTTAGCTGCAAACCAAATTCTCCCACCCAGAACACGTTTTTCTCTCTCCAAGATAAAAACCCATCTGAAACCTACTTTCACACATCCAAACACACACACTTCATTTTTAGTTTCATCCAGACACAGATTGCTTTAATACCAAGTTTTAATACCAAAGCTTTTATACATTGTCATTTATGAATTGTCTTTTAAATTGTCATCTTTAAATTGTTAGTAATAAATCCTTAACTTTTTAAAACTGACTATCCTTTGATTAAAACACAGAGTGGTGTATATTTGGTCATTGAACGAGCAAAGATCTCTTTAGATCTTCTGAATTAATAAATACATTTTTGCTATTAATTTAAATCTCTTAAAGTAAATATTAATATTTTGATTAAATATAGAGTTGATGTATGAACTTCTATCGATTATATAAATATCCGTGGATATATATATAATATAAGTTTCATTGCCAATTTGTTTGATCTTTCTCAGAATTTAGCAAAGCTGAATAGCAACAGCGTTAAATTCTAGTTATGTAGATTAACAACGCTACAAAAGGGTCTGAGGTTGGCTACAAAGGTTTAACAGGTTTTACAACGCTTTCATGTTTGACTTCCTATCTGACCTGATCTAAACTGCTGAGCATTCTGGAAGCGTAGTGTGCAGGAAATGAACTAGTCGCGAAGAGTCGCTGCCCTTCTGGGACGCATCTAAAATGCAACACTTTGTGGCTGATGAAAACACACAGTCACTATACGGCTGATTGCTGCTTACGTGCAGAAAAAATTTTACTTAAACTACTGTACAGGACTGATTTTAGCCATCACCTTTAGGAGAGCTTAAGGCTTATTTTAAGGACATGAAAGAAGGGGGGGCAGCTGTGGGGGGCATTGCTCTCTTAGCGCCCACGTGTAGATCACCCCTGTTAGCAAGTCATCACAATTGTTTTTTTCTATTGATATTTTTAAATAAACCTGTCTCTTAAATATCAAATGAACATCATTCACAAAAAAAATAATAACTGACCATAAACAACTTTCAGTACAAAGATCACTGCCAAATGTCGTACAATCTGATGAAGAGTTCAGTTGCAAAAACCAATGACTCAAGTTTTATAATCTTTAAGGAAAATTACACCTTTTTGTTTTATTCAGGTGACAGTCAAAGTAAAGTTAGCAGATTTTGATCAAAATTTCTTTTATCTATTTTTGAAAATTAACTCTTCAGATGTGAGCAAATAGAAACAGGAGACTTATCTCATTATTGACAATCAATCAATTCCCCCACCAGACCCCTGATGAATCCAATTAGCCCAGAGGCCTGACACAAAACTCTTCTAAATAAGACCCAACAACAGCAGTCGTCCCACCAACATTTATTAACGTTGACACCGTTTTCAGAGGTGTCGACAAACCAGCTAGACTGGATCGATGTTTCAGCCAATTAATTTTTTCCAGTAAGGAAAACCTGCTTTGGCTCTATCATTCCCAGCTTTGTTAACCTCCAGCTGTGTTTTCATTAGCTGTGCTCTGTCTGATCCTCAAATCAGCTGCTTCTGATTTTTTGAACCTTTAATATGTCGCTCAGACAGACGCAGCTTATCAATGAGCATCATGGTCAGAATGGCATTTAGCTTCCGGCTTCCTGTCCTCTCAGATAAGACGCAGTAATTACCAGACCAAACCCTGAATGCTACGATAGAAACAGGTGACAGACTTGGTTAATAAAGCTAACTCTCTCTATTCATTTCAGTCTATTAAAGCAATAACAGTTGTTGTGTTTTTAATTATCAAAAGCATTTAAAGACTCCACTTTGCTATTGTGGTCTAACTTATTATTTACATCCACAAAATGGAAATTCAGGTTTCTATTTCTCAAAAATCATTGGATCTACGTTTATTATAAAATTATTTTATGCAAGACAATCTGATCTTTGAATGAAAATACTTTCTTTGAATGACAATATATGATATAATACAATGATGTACATACAACACAATAAAATATGACTGGATAGGATACAATACCACAGTTGGATATGATATAATACGGTTGTAAATGTAGTTTGATGTAACATGATACAATATGATAAAGTTAGATACAATCACATATTGGTCCGCATAGCCGGTAGTAAGTCGGACCTGTTCCCGGTGAGGGTTGGACTCCGCCAGGGCTGCCCTTTGTCACCGGTTCTGTTCATCACTTTTATGGACAGAATTTCTAGACGCAGCCGTGGTGTGGAGTGTGTCGAGTTTGGTGGCAGGAGAATCTCGTCTCTGCTTTTTGCGGATAATGTGGTCCTCCTAGCTTCATCCAGCTCTGACCTTCAGCTCTTGCTGGGTAGGTTCGCGGCCGAGTGTGAAGCGGCTGGGATGAGGATCAGCACCTCCAAATCTGAGACCATGGTTCCCGACCGGAAAAGGGTGGCTTGCCAACTCCAGGTCGGGGGAGAGGTCCTACCTCAAGTGGAGGAGTTTAACTATCTCGGGGTCTTGTTCACGTGTGAGGGTAGGAGGGATCGGGAGATTGACAGGCGGATTGGTTTGGCATCTGCAGTGATGCGGACGCTGAGCCGATCTGTCGTGCTGAAGAGGGAGCTGAGCCAGAAAGCCAGGCTCTCGATTTACCGGTCGATCTACGTCCCAATCCTCACCTATGGTCATGAGCTTTGGGTAATGACTGAAAGAACGAGATCGCGGATACAAGCGGCCGAAATGAGTTTCCTCCGTAGGGTGGCCGGGCTCAACCTTTGAGATAGGGTGAGGAGCTCGGACATTCGGGAGGGACTCGGAGTAGAACCGCTGCTCTTCCGGATCGAAAGGAGCCAGTTGAGGTGGCTTGGGCATCTGGTCAGGATGCCTCCTGGACGCCTCACTGGGGAGGTGTTTCGGGCATGTCCTTCCGGCAGGAGGCCCCCAGGTCGACCCAGGACACGTTGGAGAGGTTACATCTCCAATCTGGTCCGGGAACGCCTTGGGGTCCTGCCGGAGGAGCTGGTGGAGAAGGCCGGGGAGAGGACGGTCTGGAGCTCCTTAATTGGGATGCTGCCCCCGCGACCTGGAACCGGATAAGCGGAGGAAGACGACGACGACAATCACATATGATACAATAAAACCAATTTCGATACGATATAAAACAACTGGAAATAATATGAAAAACAATCTGATATGATACAATACGTTTCAATTGGATATGATGTGGTACAATATAATAGGATACAAAATGCATATTGCACATCCCTTAATTTTGGTAAAATCTAAAGTGTGTATAATGAAAGATTAAACCTAAAGGTGTATTTTTTGGATTTAAATAACCTAAAAAAATGCTAGATCGGTTCTTAGGGAGAAAAAATTGTTCGATGATTAGGCGATTCTGAAATTTGAAAATAATTTGCATGTAAATTTTTCTTCTTATGTATCTCCAACAAATTCTGTTCCAAAACTTAGACGACCTTAAACTGCAAATCTTTGAATTCCTTCAGTAACCTTTGTGTTGATGTTTGGGTCACCTACTCATGAATTTGCATTGTGGGGGGATTCATGGAAGCAATGACAGTCACAGGAGTGACTGTGGATGGTGACGGAGAGGGAGGAGCGGCCTCCGGAAGCTAGCCTGGCCTGCCAGACTCTAATGGGCCATTCCCATCTGTACCGGGTCGGCCCGGGCCGGGTAGCGTAGGTTGTTTACATATCTGGGTGGCCTGGTATTTTTCCGGGCCAACCAAGGCTCATTCTCAGCCCTCTTCTTGAGGGGGTCTGCTTCAGGCCGACCAGGGCCAACACACCCACTGCTGACAGCAAATTCACACCTTCCATTAGAGCAAGCCTCTGATTGGTGGGTAGAATCAGCCCACATGGGCTTAAGGCATGCTCAGTTCATTATCATGCTGATTACCCAGAAGCTGAACGTGTCTCTGACTGCATTCCTTGCATACCTAAGCAAGGATGTGTGGAAACAACCGGGCCAGGCTGGGGCCGACTGGGGCTACCCGGCCTGGGCCGACCCGGTACAGATGGGAATGGCCCATAATTCTGCACAGAGAAAGGGTCTGGGAACTCTCCTATTCAAATAACCCCACCCCGTGAGAATTCTAACTGAGCCAATCAGCGCTGAGTAGCGTACATCACACATCACAAGCTGAGTTGTCGAAGATGGCGACTGAAGAGGTGTTCGCTGCGGCTCTTTCCTTTGTTCTAAATGACTTGAATATCTTTAAAACCACAAGTATAAGCCTTTCTTGTAAAGAAAGATGTTTGAGCTGTCGCCAGACGCCATTTTTGACTACAGCTAAAAAAATTTAAAAAATACAACGTCACGGACATCACACACAGCGACGCTGAGTTTCTCATAAACAACTATCTCCACCTCGAACAATAACAAAGCCATTAAGACACTAAGTCTCTGCTCGAAATTTCAAATCTTTCCATAATTCATACTCTGTTGCATGTCTCGTATTGTTTCCTGTTTCGATCATCATTCTCATATGTTTCATAATTTGTATGCAGTAACCCCTGGCGTTGAATCTGTTGGTATGTTTTTGTTATGTTTATACTGTTTCCATGTACTTCATAGTGGATATTGAGTCAGTTGTGTATCTTGACTGTATTGTTAACGAACCAATATCCTAAATAAAAAAAAATAAAAAGAAAAAGAAACTATGAAAAAAAAAAGTTTCTCATAAACAATGAAGACGGCTGAGTTCGCTGCGGCTCTTTCCTCTTTTAGCTTTAGTCCGTGAGGCAGACACTTTGTCTACTTTTAAGAATAGGCTTAAAACATTTTTATTTGATAGGGCTTATGGTTAAAATATGATGTTAGCCTTAATCTGGACAAGTGGGGGAGTAGAGGGAGGTGGAGTGTACAGTCGGTAAAGACGGCTCTCCCATGCCCTGCCTCCAACATGCCTCCATCTAAAAATGCTAGGTTATCCAGAGTTATCTCTGTAGTTATGCTGCTATAGGCTTAGACTGCTGGAGGACACACTGACCACTTTTCACACTCTACTGCTTTCTTCTACAGTCTGCTCTTTAACTGTACTATTTTGTGCAATTTCAGCTGTTAACTTTATTTTCTCTGTAAGTGTTTTTCTCCCCAGAAGAAGCTACAACGACGTTCTGCTGAGCTGTGGTGGCCTCATGGAGGGGGCCATCGACTAGCACACTGCTGCTAACCACTAATACATTCTCTCTCTCCTGATAATAACTTTTTACCTTCCTTGACATTGGATGTGCTAATACTAGTTTATCCATTTAATTATAGATCCACTAGGACAAATACAATAAAGTTTATCTTTCACCAAATAGAATATTTACGAAGACATCACAATATAACTATAGACACATTACTAGTCTTTGTGAGTGTGCTTGCGTGCGTGTGTGCGTGCGTGCGTGTGTGTGTGCGTGCGTGTGTGTGTGTGTGTGTGTGTGTGTGTGTGTGTGTGCGTGTGTGTGTGTGTGTCTGCCTTCTCGATCCCCAGTGAGTCATGGTGGATGGCTGCTTATACTGAGCCGGGATTCTCTGGAGGTTTCTTCCTGTTAAAAGGGAGTTTTCCTCTCCACTGTCGCTCTATGCTTGCTTAGTATGAGGATTGCTGTAAAGTCACTGACACTAGTCAGTGACTTGATGCAATTTGCTGGGTCCCTTATATAGGAAAAATTATTTCTGATTGGCTTAATGAACTGACCTGAATTGGAATGTTTATTATGTGAAGTTCCTTGAGACGACTCTTGTCATGATTTGGCGCTTTATAAATAAACTTGAATTGAATTGAATTAAATGACTTGGATGTCTTTAACCCCACAACAAGTAGCAGCACTAAAAGCCTTTCTTCTTTAAAAAAAAATGAGATGTTTGCGCTGCGTTGCCAGACACGTTTTTATACTACGGCTAAAAAAACTACAGCGTCGGTACAGTCGGTATTTCCGTCTTCTTTCTGATTGGTTATTTTTGAGCTGGCTAGTCCCGCCCCTCAAGTGCTTCTCTTCCTCGCTGCCTGTTATTTCTCTGTGCAGAATTAAACAGAGGGAGTCTGGCAGGCAAGGTTAGGTGGACGCACATTGTTGGGGTCAAAGATGTCCAATGCACAGGTGCTGATGGCGCTGGTGAAGCAGCGGCTGGTGGCCGCTGCAGAGGAGATCTGCGGGTTGTTTGAAGGGGCGAAGTATGAGGAGGAGATGGAGCGGCAGCGCAGCCTACTGGAGGTCCATGTGGAGCCCGAAAGACCCGGAGCAGGTCATTGTCCTTTGGGTGGAACTGTGGGTCCAACCCATCTATAAATATATCACACGCATAAATTACAATGCTTGCCACTTTTTTCATTTATTAATTAACTAATAAAGGTCAGTCGCGAGGCTTCACGCAGAAACCGGATGTTTGGGACGGCGGACCTTCAAAGTAAAAGGCCTTGTATGTTTAATCAGATATTCACCTTTTAATGTACTTTTCAAAGTACTTTAATATGATGTATTAAATGCCCTCAACATTTTAGAATAAATAAACAAATGTCAGATTTTAATGGAAATTTTATAATAAAGATTGTGGGTCTCATTGTGGTTTTGATTGTAACAAAATACGAAAAGATGTAGAAGTTAGATGGAAAAGTATTGAAATTTTGTAGACATTTGTTGTTTTAGGACAGAAATTCAATTAATTAGTTAATTCGGTGCCTTAGTATTAACAAAATTCCCTTAATGTTCAGATAAAATGATTAAACTAGACTTGCCATCTTCCAAGGAAAAGCTCTGGAAAACCTTTGGAAAGCCTTGAGGTCTATTTTTAAATACCACCTAGAAAGAATACAAAAATAGAAAACAGACATTGAGCATAAAACTCTTTATAGATAACGAATCAGAGTTTTCATCAGTATAATTCTCAAAAGGATGGATGCAATGTTTAAATGAATTGTTTTATCTTCAGATGTCTACAGGTTTGCTGCCAGAGAAGAAGAGCTCCCATCTAAGCAGAAGAGCAGAAGTTCCAGGCTGGAGGAGGAGCCCCTAAAGCTCCCACACATGAAAGAGGAACAAGAAGAGCTTCAAGTCCTGAAAACGACTGAATTCACTGAGTTTTATCCCAAAACTGTGAAGAATGAAGCTCAATCTTTATGTAGCAGCCAGATGGAGGTGGAGAAGCACCATGAAGTACTAGAGTCAGATCCAGACAACAGCATTCCCGACCCTTCAGAACCAGTGAATAAGGTCAAAGGCCACATTAAGTCTCTCGCTGCACCTCAGTCAAGTCCAGACTTTCTGAAAACTGGAGGTCGTAGTTGGAGTGAGAGACCATTCTGCTGCTCTGCGTGTGGAAAAAGATTCAGTCAAAGCTCTAATTTAAAGACTCACATGAGAATCCACACTGGAGAGAAGCCCTTCGGCTGCTCGTTTTGCTGTAAGAAATTTGTTCAGAAGGTGCATCTGAGGCACCACATGGTACGTAACACGGGAGAGAAACTGTTTGGCTGCAACACTTGTGGCCAGAGATTTAATTGGCTTTATCAGCTCAAAAACCACCAGTGTGTTGTTGCAGAACCTCATCACAGAAAGGAGAACAGAGGAGCAGCTGGACAGATGAAAGCTGATGCAGCTCATAGTTTGGTGATTCAGACGGATGTTTGGGTGGCTGATTTGGGATTAAATGATGAAAGGAAGTCGTTTGTTGCCCTGACTGCTGGGAAATCATCCTTCTAAATAAAAAAAAAGCTGTTAGAATCTGCAGTATCTCAAACATGCCACAAGAGGTCACTGTGAGCTTTCTATAATATGAGTTGAGTGCCTCTATAGCACTGAATTTGAATATGGAGAGGACGTACTCAAAGGGTAGATCATATTTCTCAATTGTTACATGCATTGGCTTTAATTAGTTTGCATATTTGCTACTTACATTAAAATAATGATCATTAGCATCTGTTTGGCATAACTGGTTAATAGGACACTTCTTTATTCCTATTAGTTCCCTAAGTTTGTGGAAATGTACCAAGAAGAAATTAATGTAACTAAAGGTGGTCACAATAAATACATACTGTTATTCTCATTATATGTTAATTTATTTTTCATTGGTAAATAAAAACAACTATTATTTATATTTTTAAAGCCTTCTTGCTTTGCAGCATGTGTTCGGAACACAGTTTATGGAAGATTTCAACACGAAACGGGAGACTGTCTTAAATGCGAGACAGAGCTGGTCATGCTACTCTCCAGGCCAGCGCATGTTGGCACGGTGCGCACGCGAGGTGTGGGGTGGTGGTGGTGGGGGTGCGTTCAAGATTTGGGGTTGCTGAGCAGTTGCTTAGCCCAATCTTGGGGTTGTTTAGCAACCCCTAGCTACCGCCTGGTGCCGCCCATGTGTGTTCCTATAGCTTATTTCATTAATTCATTCACCAGTGTTGCTACTGTTTAAACTGACTGGTACTGAATAGTCAGAGTTAAGAGGAGGAAATAATGGTTTGAAAGGAAAAAGTTAAAAAAAAAAATGAGTCAAGCTCATACAAACTTGACCAGGGCAGGGTCATTTAAAGGACACGTGTAAAACTCACCTTTTGTGCTGCCATCTGGGTTTCTACTGTTTTCTGTCAGTATTGAATTTTATGGATTATGTGTGTAAAATGAGCCATTGCAAAAAGCCCCCATTTGTGAAGTCACAAATTAGGAAATTATAGCGTAGAACCACCTCTCACTTGGATGAGAGCTTCTGTTGGAGCCGTGGCTCTACTACGAACACCTTCCAGGTATCAAAGCTTTTCAGCTAATTGATGGGCGTGGCCAGCTCTTACTTGCTTTCTTAAAGTGACAGAGCCCTGAAACGACTCATTCTGGAAAGCATTGAAACTGTCGAGAACAAAACAGCTAATAATGCTTTATGTTAGAAGAATTTGATGCAAAGAACTTTATTAATGAGTTTTGCATCGACCATAAAATCAGAGCTGCCAATAGGGGAGGACAAAGGGGTCTATTGCCCCAGGTCCAGGGTAGGAGGGGGACCCAGCTCTGGGCCCGCATTAAAATATGGAATAACCTTAGAAGGGTCATTTACAAAAGAGGCCCACCTAAAACGGATGTCATTTAGAGTTATAAATATATTTTTTTGTTTTATTCCTCATTTTCATTTATAAAGTCAACAGGAGCCACCCCCACCCAAACGCACACAAATTATTTAGCATTTGACAATTAGCCTGAAGTTACCAGGGGCCTCATTCATCAAGCTTGCTTACGCACAAAACGGGGTCGGAAAACTTACTGCGTAAGCAACTTTCCACGCAAACTTTGGGATTTATGAAAGAAAACTTAGCGGAAAAATTTGTGCAACTTTAAGTTGACTGAGGACCTGGCTAGCAGTGCTGCTGCTGAGAAGGATAAAATTATGAAATCCTGCAGCATTATCACTTGTACTGCTTCGTTTTCACCATTGACATATATATATAGCATTTTCACACGGAACAAGATCCCCCACACACGCGCGCGCACACAGCCTTAAGTGCAGAATACGGAATGCACAATATCAGCAGGGAAACAGATTGAGACAGAATGTCAAGCATCTGTGACAGTGTGTGTCCTGTCACTGTGACCCGATTGATCATGCGCCCTGGCTACTTGGACAGGGGAGATCTCCATTTGGCTGACTGGTTAGCACGTGCCACAGATCTCTCAGAATTCACAACATTGACGGCTTCAGCAACGCTGTGCCACTCCGTGGATTTTCTCTTATTTGTTTTGCAAAAGCACTTCCTTTCATTTCTCCACCTCACCCACAGGTAACTCAACTTCTGCTTCTGTGAAATTGCGCTTCCTTGATCTGCCTTCATCTACGGTCGCCATGTCATTGGCGGAGCGCTGCAACAGCCAGCTTATGTATATGCATGAGATCCACAAGGCACATTGCATTGACTATTTATGGCAGTAAGTGGGTGTGATGAGGGGGATGTGACCAAAATGCAGCTGAGAAATATTCTCGTTAGTCTCCGATTTATGAAGCGGGGATTGCATGCAGCTGTGCGTACTCCATGTTTGATAGATCACGAACCTACTTGGACTAAGTACATTTTTTTGCTGAGCTTAAGTACGGTTTTAGTAAGGATTCTACGCAATGTTTGACAAATGAGACCCCAGCTTATTTTTTTGCTGACAGAAGCAGCTAAATATTATGCAGTGTTATTGTAGCAATAATAGAAAATATGTTTAATGCTTTCTAAAACGATGATGGAAAACTAAATATGGGCTACCTTTATGATCATAATCAATATAAAATAGTGTCATTAGCAGAATTTGTTTCGAAATCTATTATGTCAGCCTTTTCATTGCTTGTTTTAACATTTAACATCCTGTGTGCTGTGATCTACAAGCAATAGGAAAACTATGTATAATTGCTCCAGTTAGTCAAGCCTAAAACAATTTTTCTTTTCTCAT